GATTTTGATGTGATCACATGGCTTTGGAAGAAGAGACTTTAAATGTGGTTCTAAACCATAATCTAGGTCTGCACTGTGTTCTTGGGTCCAGCTAGGTCTGGAGTTTTTCTGCCCTTTAATCCACGTACACAATTATAAGCACAACTGTCCAGCTCAAGGTTGATTCCTCCCTGCAGAAAGAGCCTCAGGATGATATATGTATGCAGACTTCCATGCAAAGTATTATTTTACCTTTGCTTCCCATGAGCATACTACTGTTTTGGGGCATAATTTAAGTATTAACCTCATTGTTAACACAATTCAATATATTTACAAGTTGTGTAGCTTTAGAGCTATTAACATTTAGTAGTACATTCTGTGTGAGACATTTCTCATTCAGAAGAATGCCTACAGAGATATGCTCTTCTAACATATTACACTATGGGGGTCATCATTTAACATTTGAAACATCTACCAGCCCATACATCTTATTTAAAATGTCAAGAGAGACCAGAAAAATTACATTGGTTTGAGGAGTCTTGTTACTGGAGTATTTGGGATCATCTAATTTATCTCCCTTCCTCTCTGTATTAGTATTTTTTCTCTCTTTATCTAGTGAGAGAGGGAAACTGCCCAATTGTCATGAAGTAGGAGAGAAAGTGTGTGTCATAGAAACAGAGAAAGGTGTTGACATCTTTCCATTTTCCTTGTTCCCAATCTGGCTCCTGGATTTAGAAGCTGTCTGTCACCACTTCCTCTGCCATAAGAATGTAATCAAAACTTCTTCCCACCCATAAATGACTCCCATAGCCTACAGAGACATGTGGGTGTGCTTTCCCCATCACTACACCTCCTCCTCTGGCACCGTCCCTTCTTACTGCCTTACTCTTCGTACAAATGTCCAGCTTGCTTTCCCAGTTGTTGAACTCTTGCCAAAGGCAGATTCAGAGGAGGTGCAGTGGTGCATCTACACCCCGCTTTTGGATTCAAGCACACCACGGGAAGCTCCTCCCAGCACACCATGGCATGCCCCCTTCCTACTTCTTTCCCCTATACCCTGCCTGCTTT